AAAAATTTAAATATTAAAAAAATTAGTAAAAATCTTTGCAGGCAAATTTGCCTGTGTTACAATTTAAGGGATAGTAAATTTATATAGTAATCTGAGTCACATTATTCTTCAAGTAACTGGTGGATCATCAATTAATATTCAACAAAAATTTACACTATTATAATTTTCAATAGTTCTCTCTAACTGAGGAATATTTTAAAAAAGCCAAGGATATGAGTGGCTTATTGCTTTTATATATTATCTCTAGTAATTCACAAGGAATAAAGAAATTGTCTGAAATAGCTAGTATGTTTTTTGAACAAACTTTATGTTCTTAATAGCTTATATGATCTCTAATTTTAATATAGTTTCAGATAGTAAGAATATAAAAGAAAGTAGCAGAGGCATTAGCAGATTTAGTTGATTACGAAAACTTATTTTCAGATTTCAAATATATAAATTTATTATAGGCTCTATAAATACAAATATAGATGTTATATATGTTAATATTGATGATTTTCATTTAAAGGCCCATTGCCGAAGACACCATTGCTTCAGCTATATTATATACAGAATACAAAAACAGCAATTATCAAGATATTATAGCTAGTACATAAAGTCTTCTTATATATTCAATACTTATAAAATTTTAAATTTATAATATAAGAAATTAAGGATATCTATACTACAATTAGAAATAAAAGAGAAATATCTGAATAGCATTCTACTATCAAACTTGGCTTCTTCTAGCAGTTATATAGTCAATAGCATAGTACAAAGAAACGTTAATGGTGATATCGATGATGATGTTCTATTATCGGTTGCTTCTGTTAATAATAATTGTAACAATATAAGCCTTTTAAACATGAAAGGTAAATAAAAAATTTTTCCTACATTGCTTTACTCTCAGTTAATTTTTTTTCTTTTTTTCTAGTAAATACAGCTAGTATTGAATCAATTCGGGTATGATTTTTATTTCTATTATCACTACTGTTATTTATTTATTAATTGTTTGTCAACAACTAAAATCTACAAAAAATTAGAGTGATGGTAATTTTGATGATGCTACTTTATGTGCAAACTCTGAGCAAGACCGAAGAATTGATCCAAATATATTTTCAATTGTTGGTTTGAAAAAAAATATGAGATTAAAATTATTTAATGACATTATATTTAATATATAGAGTATATTTTTGATTTATTAACTTATAATAAATAAGTACTGTATAGACCCGAAATAATGCTCAGAGACATTATTTCGAATCTTGGCCCAAATTAAGCTTAATTTAGACTGAAATTTGAAATTATGCCCTGTGTATTATTTTGGGTCTATATAGTAAAAAAGAATTTCTTGAAATTTTTTTATACCTATTCTGTCATAATATTTTAAATTTAATTTTCTATAAATACTGTATATTATAAACAAATTTTGTAAAAAATATTTTTTTTAAAAAAAAATAACACTTAAAGCTTCTGTTAGATTTTATATATAAAACAAACTGGTTTTGACATATTCTAATATAGACTAGTTTATAATTTTATTATGGATTGGGGTAGCTAGAAAAGTTATTTAGAGCAGAACACATAGGCATGCTAGTTAGTTATTTGAACTACCTACAATGTTTGCGAATTAATATCCTTTGGCTAGACTCATCGATAAGGACCCCAGACATCTCTCATATAGGTCATATTTGCATTTTAGCAAAAAGTCAAAAATTTGGCCTAAAGTTTGATTCTTAGTTTTAGCAAATTGATGATAATTTTAATAAAAGGCTATAATTTAGCATTTTGTCAAAATTACATCAAGTTTATGTATGTTATATTTTATTTTTAGCAAATTATCTGCATTTTGAAAGAATTATACTCAAAAATAAGCTATTTTAGTTTTTAAACCACTATGATTTTTCAAAATTCAAGAGAAGATACTTAATTTTAG